AAATCCGAAATTGTGCATTTGTAAGAGTTTAGCTTAACAAAGCGACAATTGCTTGTTGAATGCACAATAGAATATGTATCCAGCATTCTTCATTGAATTCATAAAATCCGATTCGATCACCCATCACAAAACAACAATCAATCGGAATTCACCTTCAAGAACGACCGGATTTGCGGTCAACGATGCGATTTCATTGGCGTTCCCACCAAGACCATACTCTAAACCTTGATCTTCGCCAATTTCTTTGTTGGACAGTCCTAGAGCTGGCACTGATGCACCTTGTTCAGGTAATTTGTCGGTATCAGGGAACAACTAAAAATGTCTTCTTTTTGCAATGATAACAGTTCAGTTTCTGAGAAAAAAAACTGAACGAACAAACATCTGATAAAATTCTACGAAAATGAGTGCATGATATGGATGAATACCTTGTCGAAATTGCACTTCGAAAGGTTCGCTAAACTTCTCGCGAATGTTTTCGGTGCCCGAAATGCACGAAGAATCTTCTCCTCTGCACCCGACACAAAACAACTCCTCAAATGATTACATTCGTAAATGAATGCAGCAGTAAATGTGAACAAAACAAATATGCAAGTGATAGTGTTTGTTTTTCGGAAACAAAATTATCCACCCAGTAAAATTGGTGAATATACTTTCTTGCTGAAGCTGTTTCTTATCACTACCGATCACCAGATTCAAACTTGTGAATTTTTCTGCACTGGCTAAATTGAATGCAAATAGATGAAACAGCAAAAGAATTTAGTAAATTTCAGACTGAGACTGTTAAATTTAATGAAACAACTAACGGTGACACAGAAGCCAGGCAAGCCAGATCATAACCGTGCACTTGCGGACGAGCGATTTCTGCGTATGAATCCTGGAAAGCTCCATAAATAAAACAATTTTTCATGAAATACCAAAATCCATGAAATCTATCAATTTCGCTTGAAATTTTTACAATCCACAAATCGCTCGTAGAATCAGTCACAAAAAACTGATATAACTTCATTTTAAATTCTCAAATTTGTTATCTCCCGAGAGCTGTATCTCATTTCCATGCACAATAACGTCGTTCTACGTAATGAAATGATACCGTATCCTTGTAGGGTGCAAAACAACGTGTGGTTTGATCGAGTGAACACGATAGCAGATAGGTTCCACTTGGATCCCAACAAACATCGCACACGGCCATCGAATGACCCCCAAAAAGTGGTCGCGACTCCCATAAATATCCCCCATCTCCTCCTTCTCCTNGTGATTCCTATCGAAACATTAGAAGTAATATAAATGCATTCGTAATTATTCCTATTCATATTCATATTTTTGCTGACTGCTGCTATTATTGTTATTATTACTATCATCAAAGAGAAAAGGGAAAATATGCAAATCCCCCGCGCTGGATGATATCTGCATAATACCTATAATATCCAGGTATTATTATCATGACACAAATTAGGGCTCAGTGAAACAAAGAGAGCCTTACATCTGCTGAACGCCAACAATAGAAACCACCGAAATACGAGTAGGCAATGATGCAATCGTTTTGAGGAGTGTAACATCCACCGTAATAACCAACTGATTGACCACCGACATCCCCAACACGAACCTTTAATTTATACATTAATATGGTTGTTGCTGATAATTATGATCATTTTTAACTTTATAAAAAACGATATATGTGCGTGGACCGATCGAAGAACACAGTGGATTGCAAGACATGTGAAGGGGCCCCTGGGCAGATCACGAATAAGATGGGATGAACCACTCGTCAGGCTGTTCGGTCAGCTATGGGGAAGGTTTGCACAGCATAAAGATTCATGAAACCCGGTGAACCTGCGTTCTCATATAGAACAAAGACAGATCGCAAGGTAATCGCAAGATATAATTTCCTTCATTATTATTATTACCGTAATTATTATCAATATCGTTCAGTCATATAACTTATTAAGAAACACAAAATATAGTAGACTATGTGCCAGCATTAATACACAATAACATTCAATATTCAACACGAATAAGTTCACATACACTCTTCAACAGATCAAATAAGAACTTTCAAATAAAACTGACGAAATCGAAATAAGAATGCGAATAAAAACCACCTTCTCTAGCCAAATACCGTCAGCAATTTCGGACTGTTCCCAGAGTATCAAGCATTTATCATTCGAAACACTCAACAATTGATTCTGGTACGGATGCCATTCNATGAGGACATTTCATAAGGCGTTCAAGGCATAATCTCTTGCAAATAATGATTGCACCCAATGATACAATCAAAT